CCTCAAAAGGTAGATTTCAAACAAACATAAGAGAGTGTTTGTAGAATTTAAAGACAGAAAGTATGGAAAAGGAGGACAGGGCAGCTGGATTCCACGTGTCCAGGTTGGTTTGAGTTCCACACCCAGGAACTTAAAATCATAAGGGAGTGGCGGGGGACTGGACTCCCACATGGTGAAACTCACTCCTGGAGTGTGTGCGTTTGTGCCCAAAATCCCAAAGGAGAATGGAGGAGAAGGGATTGTGGCGTGGCCATCCCCCTTGGGGGATGACTTCTTGCCTTCTGTCTCTCTGTCCCTTCAGCGAACACAACTGCAACTATGACAAAAATATCTCTTTTAAAAAGAAAAAAATTATCATACCGGGCCCTTGCGTGTGCATACCCAAAATCCTGAGAGAAGAATGGAGGAGAGGGAATTAGGGCATGGCCATCCTTCCTGGGGGGTGATTTCTCACTTTCTCTGTCTCTCTCCAGCGCACACATGCCCCCTATAGCAAACAGACAAAGGATAACCCAGAGTGTGAGTGCATTTCTCTCAGTGGAGACAGTAAGGTAGCCTGACAGTATGTGGGTGAGGCCATCTCTGGAAGCCCATTCCCAACTAAAGAGTGATTTTGTGAACCTGTAATTTGCAAAGCCCATCATGTCCTGTAATTCACCTTCCTTATCTGCCTAATACGCAAAGGTACTAATTCTCCCAGCATGGGACTAGCCATCCCTTCCACACATAGGTCTTGATCAGCTTTAGTCTGAAGATTTGGGGGTGGGGATGAATGATGGGGAGAAATGAGGTTAGGGTCAGTGTTTAAAAAAAAAAAAAAAAAAAAAAAAAAAAAAAAAACCCCCAAATTTTAATCCTCCCCGACGCTGTCTCTCTGGACTTCAGGCATCTCAAGAAAGGCTGAAATTCTCGCCCTATGAACAAACCTGTGGCCGCCACAGCTCTCAGAATGAAAGGATTTCCCCTCCTCCACCTCACCTCTATCAAATTCCAACTATTTTCCACATTCCTTCCTTACACAACCCAGGCACACACTTAACGCAGGTCTCAGAGCAAATTCCACTTAGGAGATGCAGGAAGCTCTCACCCCAGCCCTTCCCAGTCCTCCCTTCTAGAAGGAAAGTCCAAATAAAGAGGGATGCCACACCCGGGGGGGCGGGGGGGGGGAGGATGTGACGACACCTCCAGGAATGTGGGGCCCACGCAGGTGCGTTGGCACCCATGAACTTCCTTTTGAAAAGGGCTGATAAATCAGTCCCGATAACAGTAATAAAACTCAACCACCCTACAATCACTCACACAGAGCGGGGCCCTCTCGTCCTGGTCCCAGGGCGTGGCCTTGCCTGCTGAGTGGGGAAAGTGAGAACGCAGATCCCTAAAGTTGTGACATGTTTTCTGGCATAGCAATGATCAAAATGTGGTCCTGGGAGTCCCTGTGACCTTCACTGAGGAACTCAGAACGTCAGATCTTCTCACAGTACTAAGATGTCATCTGTTCTTCCCACCCTCGTTATCTCACACGCGTGAGATGGAGTTTTCCAGCCGGGGCATGGCCTGTGATGACATCATCACTAATGACTATTGGAATGTGTGCTGTGTATGATTCTGCTTCCAACACGCCTCTGTTTTTATTCTAGTACGATAAATATGGACAGAGGTCACACACAAAAACTATATTTTAGGCTCCGCCATCATTTTTAACAGTCTGTTGGGGTCTTGAGACTGAAACTGTTGAGAATTGCTTTGCTAGTCCAGTTAGGAGAGTTACAGGTCCTGCGGCAGATGGGGTCACCGCACAGGGATTATTTCCAGCTGAGCCTGAGTCAAACAGTAGGTGGTTTCCCGGGGTGTGAGAAGACAACCTTATTATTTATTATTCAGCTTGGGATGACATCCGATCCACCTGTAGTTCCACCCAGAATGCCAGAAAAATCATAAACTCCTCCACAAGCACTGGGCGAGTTGAATCCTAGGGTTGGGGGGTGTCTCATCTTTGAAGGGGTGCTAATTTAGCTTGGATAAGTCACACTCCCAGCTTCAGCTCCCAGCAGAGTACTGAATACCTGCCACCTCTGTGCTGTACCAAGCAGAAGTGTCCCCGCCTTCGGGGAACTTTCAGCCTCAGCAGAGAGGAGGATTTCTCAGGAAACTCACCAGCACACACGTGGAAAACGAGAAAAGAATTTGTCACAAGCTCTGTGAGCAGTACGAGGTGTTCGGAGGACTTCTGAGGAAGGCAGGGCAAAGAGGGGAGAACTCGCAGGTAGAATAAAGCGTCCTAACCAACTCTTCTGCCCATCCGGGTGCGTCTCAGTCCCAGGGATGGGGTGGAGCGTGAAAACAGGGGAATCTTGGGGTCTCCTTCTCTCCCCATGGCCACTGCTAAACAAGGTCCCTGAGGGCAGAGACTAACTCTGGAGCCTTAAGAGAGCAGGATCCGGTGTTTGGTTACTCCGGGACACAGCTCCGGTCACTGGGGAAACAAACACAACGCAAAGGTTGTCATTTGTGGAAACGTGAAGCGGCCAAGAAATGGCTGGAAGCGGGGAGGCTTCAGAGGGTGTTTTGTTTGTTTGTTTGTTTGTTTTAAAAGGAACAAATAGAACGTCCTGAGACCGGTCTAGAAGTCCTCAGGGAGATCGGACCCGCGAGCCCAGGAACCTTATCCCTCTCCTTTCAGGGCGCCCATTCGACCCCTAGGGACTTAAGGGATTTAGGGGGTGCAGTCTCCTCGGCCAAATCCAAACCAAGAGGGCTTCTCCCAGTAACTGTTGTAGAGGCGGGAAACTTGGATTTTTGCAAACGGGATTTGCAGCCGGACGCCTAACCGACGCAAAACAGTGGGGACGGGTGCGTCGTGGAAGGCAGCAGCATTCCCAAGCGGAAGCGGTGCGGGGGGCCTGCGGGAGCCGGGTGCCTAGGCGCCTGGGCAACCGTCCCGGCCGCGCCCTCCATCCCTCCGGTTAGGCGTGTGACTAGCGCGCGCCAGCGGGGCCGGGCTGCCAGGCGCGCACCCGTGCGTACGTAAAAGGCCCAAGCGCCAGAACCCTTCTCCAGGTGCGCTCGCGCTTCCGGCCGGCCTCCCGCACTGTCTTCCCCGGGCGGAAACTCCCGGGCCGGCGCATGCGCTTTCCAGCTCTCCTGCTAGGTTTGGAGAGGAAGGCCCACAGCTTCAGGTGATCCCGCCCCTCCCTCCCAACGCGGGACCAATCGCGCGGCGGTGGGCCGGACTTTGGCGGAGGCGGCCCGCCCACGCGCCGAGCGAGGCGTGTGTCGATTGGTTGGCTTCGCGAGCGCAGGTGCGCGCATCCTATTGGGTGTGGGCGGAGCGCTAGCGGCCGAGGCTTCTTCCGAGGCTGCAGGTGAGCGCGCGCACGCGCCGCGGCTCCGGCCCGGCTCGGTTGCGCGCGCTCGTGAGCTCGCAGGGGAGGCGGCCGAGAGCGAGGC